AAATGTTTATATTAGCATCAAGTGTAACAATACGACCACGGCATAAGGTTTGGCTTTCTCCCAAAGCCATATAATTCTCTTTATATATTTCAAATATAATTTTACCAAAAGTGGATTCCAAAACTGTATATTTAGACTTTATGTCGACCATCTCGTATTACTAAGTCGATAGGTAGCTACAAAATTATATCTCTGTAAATGTATAGAAACTCTGTTTGACTTTGTATATATTCTTTGGTATATTTAATCTATAGGTCTCCACATTGGTAAAATATATAAAATAATTTGACTAGAAATAACACAGTTTTTTTTATATACTTAACTTGACAAATCATTACCATTTCTTCATTATACAGTCGCACTTAAAAAATATACTTAAAAATTAAAAATCGGCGAGGAACGACTAGAATAATATTACAACTAAAATAATATTCGTGAAATGATTAATCAATTGGAATGTTTTAAGAAGACTTAAAAGGAACTTTCGATTAAACAATGTCATCTATATATGTATATATTTTTACAAAACAACTGACTTCTCAGTAAACGTCAGTTAAACTTTTGTAACGATAATATAAGTTTACAAAACAGTTTTTTGTTAAACGGGACGTAAAAAATTATTATGCATTTCACAGTTTTTTTTTTAATATTAGGACTTGTACTATGCCCAGGAAAGGCACGTTTCTCTTTCAATAATTCCAAAACTATAGTCACATCACGGCGGTCACTCAGAATATTATTTTGCTCCTAATTAATTTATTTTATACTCTGAGGACTAACCCTGACATTTTCTTTTCTATTATTACACATGTTATTGATTATAATTTAATATTAATCTGTTTAATGTCGTAAGAAAATATTCATTGCGTTTAAAAACTAGTTAATACAATAAATTACGCAAACCTTCTTATAATCTTTAACAAATAATCAAAATCGTTTGACACTAGTTTAAAATAAGAACTATAAATATTTATTTCATTAGTTACTCTGTGCTTCAAAGACAATTTAATGTCTACACAACACGACTTGATTAGTCTGACCGATCTGTCACATTTTGACGAATTCTTCTGTAAACATTGACGCATACTGTGGAAACTAGTAATTATATACTTGAACTTATTGTGAATAATAATAATTATAAACATTGTGGTTATCTTGTTGGTCTCTCAAATAAATAAAATTAAAACAATGAAATTGGCACTAAAAGAAGCCAATTGTATCAGGCTGACATGTTGGTATTCAGAAGGGTTATGACTGTGTTCAGACAACAAAAAAATCGGAACAAATTGTATTATTATATTATTAATATTATAAATGCAAAAGTTTGTGAGTATGGATGGATGTTTGTTACTCTTTCACGCAAAAACTACTGAACGTATTTTAATGAAATTTTACAGTGATGTAGCTTATACATTAGAATAACACATAGGTTATAAATATCACGCAGGTAAACCGTGGGCACGGCTTTTTAAGAATAAATCAATTACTGGTCAATAATCATCAAATTGTATGGGACCACAAAATCGGGTTATATAATAAAAAAAAGTCCTGACTAAAAATTAAAAATCACGTAATCTAACCACGTTTTATTTATTATGAGTTCCCGATATTTCGGCAGTGTTTCAACTGCAATGATCACGGGTAAACTGAGTTTAGTTTTATAAATAACGACCGCGTCAAAATTTAAAACAGTATAAAAGTTCTAAGGTCACAAAAAAATACGGTCAATTGAGAATGTCTTCCGTTTTTTTATTCAATGGAAATAGTGTTGGATAATCTTGCAGTAAGTTGAACTGATGTTGGGTGGGCAGTTGGACTTAAAATTGGTGTATATCGAGAGTATGCACTATTGCAACCTAAAGATTGGGCCAACTGAACTGTGTCAAGTCGTGTCGTGTGTAGCTGCCTTTATAATTTAAAATTTCAAAATTGAAGTCTAATAAAAACAGTATTAAATGGTGCGACTGTAACAACTGATTATAGACTTTGTACCCGAGTGAAAGAATTCAAATTTCATTGTAATAATCTCTGTTCTCACAAACTACGCTTAACATTAATTTGTACTGATTCATTATTTGTTCACCAACCTCCGTTGCCTTACACGAATTGGTATATATATATTAAATTTGTACTATTGTTCGTTTGTTTATAATTCACTCCAGGTACAAAGCGATTAAAGAAACAATTCTGAACACAATGCCGATACATTTTCACTACATTCAATGAGACTCCCCTACGATGGTCGCGTAATTTCGTAAATTGTAAAAATTGTGGCATTGAACTCTAACTTGTGGTTCTACAACACCCCCCTCCTTGAATTTACGCGGCCATAGTCAGATCGTCACCTCGCATACATTTTTTATTAATTTTGTTATTATTTAAAACGTTATTAATATAATTTGTTGTATCGCGCGCGGTGGTCTCAGCTCCGCAATAGTGGGGAAATTTGGCTGATGTCGCAGGAAGACTAGTAGGAAGATGGCTATCGAGAATAACAACTGACAAATTTCGTCATAGCAAAGTTTCGCCAATATTATTTGTATCAATGAAGCTGTGGATATATTTTTAATAATTAAAATAAACATAAATAAATAAATATTAGGTGTAGTTCCGTCATTAGTCTATCTTCTCATAGATTTTATTAATAAAAATACAGTCATTGGTATATCAATACAATTGTATGAGGAACTTTTAACATTTAAAGTCATGACAAAACTACACCACATAACTAGTTTAATTTCATTTAATGCCTTTATTACACTATTTATGTAACAAAGGCATAAAATCAAACATGAACAGAGACATGTTAGCATTATGACGAAACTCTTCTAACTCGAAATTTCCAACCTCGAAACTTCACTTCTAAATGTCATGAATTATTAGGAACTATATCGTTTGTTCTTTTATAATCAACTATTATTTATACAATGAATGTCTTTAAACGCATGATCAACGGTAAAACAATGACTTGTATCGACGGAAGCGTAATGAGTAGCTTTACCCTGATTAACAATCACAATATTATTATTAGAATCAGGTGTGAAGCTGCATAATGACCATTGCGGAGCCGTTCCCACCGAGACCTCTAGTTTTAATTAAATTACAACTTACGTACATACATAGGAACTTTGTTTAGAAGCTGCATGGTTTGTACAAGCTAACCTCCACACTGATCTACCGAATAATGAATTATTTAAACAAACTTGTTACCATTTTACCCATCAAATAAGTCTTGTTTACCAAGATAATAATATTCGACGAATGCCCCTCGTCTTAATCATCTCTAGTGTGCCGCTGAGGTATATAGATTACATTTCAGTCTTTTGTCATGGTGTTTATCATTCAGTTTAAAATTTTTAATCAAGTAATCAAACCTTGAATAATTAGAGAACTTGCCCTTAATTATGTAAAAGTGTCATTAACAATTCTCAGTTGTAAACGGATTGTAATCTACAGTTTTGCAGGTATGTGACCATTTAACAATTGCAACTGTGAAACAACTATGCTCGCATCTGCAACTCTTGAATGTTCCTATAATTCTCAAACCCTTCGATTTTAATGCCATACAGTTGTTAATTGTTAATGACATTATTACATAATTAGGCCCCAGGTACATCGACCGTTTTAAACATATTCTATAGTAGAAAACATAGTATTTTAAACATTTGTAAATATTATAATGTTAATTTACTCTAAATTTAAGTATGGCCACATCAGAGACGAGTAAGACGGGGTATCGCCTGCAGTAACATAATAATATTATGTTATCGATTACAATACAAATAAGTGTAAATGTAAGCCCGGCCGAACGACTAATGGGGTGGACAGAGCTGCGCCCAAATCCAAACCCGAAAACAATGACCCGTATTATGATTGGTGTATTACACAACAAAAACAGTCTGACCGAGCCCCCACGACCACATATCTAATCAAATTTAATACTAAAATTACGTTTAATGTTGATCACTGCCCAATAGTACGTATCTTTGTGCTTTAAGTCACTCGTAGACAACAATAAATAGTATCGAGTAGCTAACATGAGCGCCGGGCTCCGTCCGGCGCGGCGTAGTAACGCAGTAAGTATATTTGTACTTTACGGTAACTCCAAAATATAATTTATACAATAACAGCTAATATAAAACCTAACGTTGTGAGGTAGAGCGGTTGTCGTAGTACATCTATCAGGCGTGGTGCAGCATGCACCTAGTTTGTGGGTGTGTTTGTACTGTAACCGAGGGTGACGTCGGGCGGGCGCCGCGTCGCCGCGGTCCGCGGTCTGCGGTCTGCAGTGTGCGGTCCGCGGTCTGCGGTCTGCAGTGTGCGGTCCGCGGTCTGCGGTCCGCGGCGACGCGAGTCCGCGCCGTATCGTTCCGCGTCGTGGCGGCGACGCTCGCTGGCTGTCGTCGTCGTGTGTCGTGTCGTGCCGCCAGCCACCGAGGCGCTCGCTCAGTGATCAACATCGCACCGGTACTACGACGCTATCGTGAGTGCACACACACTCACCGATATAATACGTTTAAATAATAATTATTCCTAGGGTGTATTTCTTCTCCCGATCGAAATCGACGTTTCAAAAACTCGTCTCGGACCGACCCGACGGAACATCGAGGAGATAATAATAAATAATCGAATTTATAAGCGGTAACGTTTCATATATCACCCGTTCAATATAATTCTCAATATATGAAGTTAGACTCTGACAAAAAAAAAGAGGCCGGGGACCGCCGCGCGGTGTGGCGCTCGGGCGGGCGGCCGCGGACAGCTTCTCCGATTATAATTACGTCTCATAATATTTTTCAGCAATCGCTTGAAGGCACACAGCGTTAAATGTAGTTAGTACAGTTCAGCGATCGTATGCGCGCGCACGCGGCGGTGTAGTCGCGAGCCGCGGGCGCGCGCGTGCGTCGAGTGCGGCCAGACGCGCGTCGGCGTCGGCGTGACGTCGGCGTGACATCGGCGTGACGGCGGCGGCCGAATCACGCTCCGGCGTCGGGTGGCGGCTAGGCCGGCGTGAGCGTGAGCGTGACGGTGGCGCGGCGGGTGGCGCGGCGGCGCACGGGCAGGAACACGAGCGCCGGCACCAGGCTGAGCGCGCCGCCCGCCTCCTCCACCACGAACGGCTGCATCGTTAGCGGAGCCTGCGGCGCGCGCGGCACGGCCAGCAGCGCGCCGGCGCCGCCGTGCGCCGCGCGCAGGTGCGCCTCCAGCGCCGCGAAGCCCTCCGCGCGGAACTCGCAGCGCGAGCACGAGTACTGCGCCTCCGGATCCTCGCCCGCCTCGCCCGCCGAGCCGCAGCTCTCCGCGCTCTCCGCCTCCGGGCACCCGATGCCGTTGTTCGCCTCGTTGCCCATCTCGACGCTCTCGTTCACCTGCTGCTGGGCGTGCGCGCGCTCGTGCGCGAATAGAAATGCGAGCACGTCCGTCGTGAATGGACAGTAGGAGCACGCGTAGGGCTTGTCTCTGGTGAGCAGGTCCAGGGGTCTCGGCGGGGGAGGCGGCGGTCTGGCCGGCGGCGCATGCTCTGCGAGCAAGTGTGCGCGCAGAGCTCGCGGCCCACGGAAGCGGCGCGCGCACAGCGGGCACGGCTCGGCGGGTGCGGCATTCGTCGGCGCCGGCGGTGCGGGAATTCCGTGTGTGTTGTGTTTGTGCACGCGTAGAAAATATTTGCTACATAACTCCTTGTGACAGATGTCGCAGGTGACGCCGCCCAGCTGCGTGCCGCTCTCCAACGAGATGCCGTGCATGCGTTGCATATGTGTACGCATGAAGTACTTATTGCACAGCTCCTTGTTGCAAATTTCGCAAAAACTAGACCCTGATGAGGAAGCACGACGTTCGTCGGGCGGCGGTGGAGACGCCGAAGGCGGCCGTGGGCCGGGGTCTGTCGGTTCGTCTGACAGCCGCTCTGCCGCGAGCTCGTTCAGTTGCGAGATCATCGTTTGTAGTTTCCGCAATTCCTCGCTCGCTGAACCAGGCGACACTGTTCCGCGCTCCTCCACTATTAAGTTTAATGGGCTCGTTTGACCATCTCGTAGAGCCGCCTCAAAGTCTTCTTCGCATTCTCGCTTCACCTCAGCCATATCTTCGGGGTCGTACGGTGGTGGGAGCGAATGAGATCGCGGAGGAGTATCAGGAGGTGGCGCAGGTAGTGCCGGCGGTGTTGCAAGCGGCGTTGTTAACGGTGTCGGTGTACCGAGCGCCATCGGTGGCGTTGCCGAAGGCGGGGACAGATCCGCTGCTGGCGATGCATGTGCTGGGACGCCATGCCTTCGCTCCCGGTGCGTTCTCAGAAAATATTTATTGCAATACTCCTTACAGCATATTTCACAGAACGCCTCAGGGTTGACGACACCGAGTCTCCGTAGTGCATCAGGCTGGAATCCAGTCTCGCGTGCTCTTCTCGCTGAATCTGGTGAGAGACGCCGCGGCGTTCCACCGGACTCCTCATCTGAGGCCCGTCTAGGTGGGGATTGTTGGACGGGCGGTGGAGCAGCCGGTTGTGGTTCCCCGCCATCATATATCCCATGCTTGTTTGCCCGATGGGTCTTCAGGAAGTATTTGTTGCAGAACTCCTTGCAGCAGAGGTCACAGTAGGCCTCAGGATTGAATATTCTAGGTGGTTCGTGACGGGGGAGCAGACGGAATGCGGCTAGGGGGTCGAAGGTTGGCAGGGCGAGTTCCCCGAAGGCGAGGGCGCTCTTGTAGATGTCGGCCATCTTGGCGTGTAGATCGAGAGGCGGAGGCGGCAGTGGCTGGGGCGCGCGTGTCGGCGCCGCCTGCTTGCGCCGCTTACGCCCGGGACTGCCGCCACCGCTCTCCAGGTCCAACTCGCGCTTCACCGCCGGCGCGACTGACATCGCGTCACCGCCGCATCTGCAATTGAGATAAGATCTTCGTTAGTGATTAAAGATATAAGTAGAAATGCATTTTAAAGGATCATTATCATTTAGCAATTCATTGGACAATGCTTTTTCAGCATTAGATTACAAGAACCACTTTTTTAACTACTTTATCTAATTAGGGATGTTGTTCAGATTTTACGTGAGTTTCTTTTTATATATCAGTTTATAAGTGGTATTTTTATGTTTATATATTTAGTCAATTTTCAATTAAACAATTGTTTTACTGTTCAGCTTTTTTTATATTATTTTTTTCTTTCACGTTCACAGATGTCTTCGCTTTCATAGACACTCCATAAATATGAGTGTTTAATTGTATTATATGCAATATAGAAGTTGTTTATTATCTTCTGTGTTTAGGATCGTGTTATAACATCGCGTTGGGATACTCTTGTCATATGCAATCAGTCTCGATTGCTGCGGTTAGCTGCGGTACCGTTGCGATGCGTTATTAACCGCACCGCATCGCATCGCATCGCATCGCATCGCACCCCAACGCACCGCAACGCACCGATTACATTTAGATACAAATTCAAAGCAGAGAATCATGATCAATAGCATCATAAGAATAGAAGTACAGAACCATCTAAGTAAATATAGATTTAAGGAATCATACAAATAGAAAATTTATAAAATGAATTTTAAAATTTATAAATTTATTTTATTCGTGGAATATTCAGTTTCTGGCGGCCTCTATCGATTGACATATTACTTCCGATGGTCGCAGGTTCGATTCTTCGCACACTATAACTATATGATATGACTCGACTATGATTGTCTGTATTGATCTCAATCTTACCTATGCATATTATGTAACATATTAATAATATGTAATTACAAAAAAATATCAAGTATTTGTATCAGTTAGTATCCATAAAACAAGCTCTGCTTAGCTTGGGACTAGATGGCGCTGTGTGAATTGTCCAGGGTAATTATTAGTCTAGATCATCGCTGGAAACTATGTTTCCAGTATTATGTTGAGTTGTGGTCCACTTTGACTCTTGTCTATAATGTGTGCAAATTGTTGATTGTATTTTTTTATTCATTACTTGCTGTTCCCGCGACTTCGTCCGCTTGGAATTTAAAATATAAAAGTAGCCTAAGTTACTCCTTATTACATCAGCTACCTGCCAATAAAAGTCTGGTCAAAATCGGTCCAGCCATTTCAGAGATTAGCCGGAACAAACAAACAGACAGACAGATAAAAATTGTAAAAAACATTTTTTACAATTTAGGTACATACGTACCGTATTTATATTCGTATGCATGTAGTAAAAAATGGTTATTTCAATATGACAAAAAGACACTCCAATTTTATTTATATGTATAGATTATTGTGTCAAGACAATTCAATAAAACTATGTTCTATGTATTTTATTCTATTCAAGATATTATCATTACAAATATCAGTTTTATATTAATATGTAGAATACAAACACATTAACGCTGTCCACCATCATGAAGGACGACTACCGAAGGGAGTGGTGTACCGGCGCTACCCTGGCAGATTGCCAATTGCCTCTTTCACGCAAAAACTACTGAATGGATTTTGATGAAACTTTACAGTAATATAGCTTATACATCAGAATAACATATAGGCTAGAAATTTCATGCGGATGAATCCGCGGGCACAGCTAGTACGTATATATGTTAGTCTGTATATATATATATATATATATATTAAGTTATCTGAATCAAATAAATAAATAAAAAATTAAAACTGTCTTAGAATTAAAACTTCTCACTGCTGACATTTCATATGCAATCAATGCACGAGTGCTGACTATCGATTGATATGCAATCACGGAACTTTATCAGTCAGTGACTCCTAGACATTTGTCGAAACAACTAACATAAACATCAACAGATCCTATTACATGTATATGTAGCTTAATACTATTATTTATCTATACTTAACATATAAAACAACTATTAAATTATCTCTGAAAAAATAATAATTGTTCAAAAAATTTATAATACTAGCTGTGCCCGCGTTTTCACACGCGTCAAATTTATAGCCTATATGTTATTCTGATAAGCTATATTACTGTAAAGTTTCATCAAAATCCGTTCAGTAGTTTTTGCGTGAAAGAGAAATAAACATCCATCCCTACTCACAAACTTTCGTGTTTATAATATTAATAAGGTAAGATAAATAAATAACTTTTACCTATAAGACCTTAAATAATAGAGATAAAGGTAAGCCAATGATGATTCTTTATAATTAAGTATTTGTTAATAATAATAATGGTAATCAGTTTAATTACTATCAATTAATAATTAATTATTATCATTTAGAAAAGCAACAAACAACTTTTGAACTTCAAGTAAAAGGTTGATGTGGTCTCTCTGATTTCATATTAAAAAAAATAATAATACAATATTAATAAATGTTGCTTCTTTTACTTAATAGTATATAAGTTATTAGACATAAAAATTACATCTATGAAAGATAAAAAATTAATATTTCTTTTGTCAATAATTACCTAATAGGTTAGGTATAAATGTACTTTTTAAATTCACTATTAAACATTAAAAAAATATTATTAAAACAGTCTTAAATGTACTTTTTTAAAGAAATAATCAAAGAAAATTATTATTATTAAGACAAGTCATATAAGATTCTTGTTAGATAGACCTCACCTACTGTAATCCAAATTATTCCTGTGCGTTTCCTTCATATATGTATAGTCCGTAACAACATTATAATCACATCACTATCATTATAACAAAACACATTATAATCATAGTTAAAACATCACTATTAAAAATATTTCATTTGTTGTTTTTTTTTATTAAGTACTTTTACGGCCCTGGAAACATTTCTTAGAATTCAAATAAATTATACACATTCACAGTATTCGAAATAATTCAAAAAATATGTGTTCGAAACGCGACACTTCCAAATTCAAAATTCGAATTCATAACTTGTAATAAAGCTGTGTGCACATTGTAATACGTAAATTATTTTTCGGTAATTAAAATTCGTCAGAAATGATGAGTATAGTGAAACGCGTGGTGCCGTTTGCGCGTGCGCCCAAAACTGACGTGTTTTTATCTAAAATGGTGTTGGGTTATTTTTTGGGTAGAAAATGGCAAAAATCGTTTACCCCACCCGGTCGCCCCTCGTACAAGGGGTCGGTGCATTATTAATCGGAGGTGTTTACATGACGCGGTTTGTATTACTGTTGAGAAGGTGACTGGATTTCAACAAGTAATCAATTTCGATATATTACTGATATCTACACATATAAATAAAATTTGAGCTTTTGTTTGTAATATTGAAATAAGCTATTTTTACTACATGCATATGAATATATATATATATGTATATGAATACAAATACGGTACATACATCAAAATAACATTTTTTACAATTTTTGTCTGTCTGTCTGTTTGTTCCGGCTAATCTCTGAAATGGCTGGACCGATTCTGACGGGTCTTTGTTTGGCAGATAGCTGATATAATAAATAGTAACTTAGGCTACTTTTATTTTAGAAAAATAGAGTTAATTTCCACGCGGACGAAGTCGCGTTACGCGTGTAACTAGTTATAATTAAAAACTTACTATGTTTACTATGGTCACAACATTTCAATACACTTCATTTAATAAAAACAAAATATTATAAATGTAAATGTGTTTTTAAGCATCTGAAAGGATTTTAATGAAATTCAACCCGAAGGTATACTGTATGACGTGGATCTACACAGATTATCTTTTATGTCTAAACGAACACACAGAAGTAAAAAGAGTAAAGTTCATGATATAAAACCTATTTAGGTCCCTAATGGGTCCCTAAATAGGTAGATATTTATTCGTATTAAGTAATGTATGCAATTTTGCATTTTCATTTTGTTATGTTATATATATAATTATATAGTATTTGGTGTAGAGAGTAACAGACTATTATTCAACCCCATCAATAAAAGTGACGCAAGTTAACCCACGGGCGGGTGCTAGTATAATAATAATAACATTGAACAATTTACACAGCGCCATCTAGTCTCAACCTTTGCAGAGCTTAAGAAATGAGAAAACGGCAATACAAACACTCATACTCATGAATACAAATGGTTATATTATGCGTGGAATCGAACTTGCGATCATCGGTATAACTAAATCATAGGTATAAGTAAATACCGCACTTTACATTTTGTCTATGTACATAAGTAAATGCTATAAGTAATAATGAAATATTAGGTAATACAAATAAATAAAAAAAATAAACCAATAGGAATTGACACAATAAATATATTTGCAACATGTAAACGCTGCTTAATAGCAAACAATACACGAAGCTTTCCGAAAATTTGGAAACTATCGAAAGGGCGGCTCTCTGTAAATACACCGGTCTCTCTCACACATGTACAAATATCAATAATGGCGATATCCCCTCTCGCTCTATCTCCCTATCTCTCTATATAATTATGATTATGAGTAATGGTACAATAAATTTGAGTTTAGAAACTTTGTAAAGATGTTATTTACTGATATCCTCACGCCTCTGATTATGAGGGAGGGGTTAAGATGTTTACTCTCAACTCGTCCCCGCGATCGGTTGAGAATCCTTGAGAGCACTTGACCTACGTATTAATGTCGATTACCTCGATGGTGTAGTGGTAAACTATCGTCCTTCTGATGGTCGCGAGTTCAATCCCGCATTATTCGATGATTTATGGGTTGAAAGTAATGTGGACTGTTAACCGTATCGCTAGCTGTGTACCATGTTAGGTTGACTTCCATGCGGTTCATAAATTCCCGGTGAATTTGTCACGATGGGCTAACTGAGGTAACCTCATATTATCATCATCCACTGGTGCCCCGCCAGCGTAAACCGTTAGCCTAAATGATAAGGATCCCATCTTAAAATTTCATTTTTATTTTTTGGTATTTTTTTTATAATGAGACTTTAAAAAATACATACACTCCTAAATTCTCCCATCTACTACCAACCCTTATTTTTATAGCGATATACTTCAATATATATGGCAAAACAACGTTTGCCAGATCAGCTAGTATTATTACAATATTTAAAATAGGAAATTCGTTAAAAACTTCCGCTGTATCAAATCGCAGTGAGAAGAATTTTAAGTCCAAATACGTATATAAAAAAAACTACGAAACAAATAAAAGAAAATAAAAAAAGATAGGAAATTCCAAATTCAAATTATAGCTGTAGGTATAGAATGCCGTACGCGCCAGCCGGTCGATGATTTAAAAAAGCTAGCCAACTTTTTGGTATTTTTATTTGATATAAACAACCGCGGGCGCTGCTTTTTTTTACCAACGGCCAAAGTGAAAAGTTTTATATTAAAAACTCTGAAAAACAAGTTTAATTACTTGGCCGGGGTAGACATCAATTTGCCTTATTAAAGTGTTATTGTTATTTAAAATGGGCAAACTTGATTTTTTATTGTTTACCTTTTGTAATATTTTTAATAGGAGTTTAGAAATTAAAAAAATTCGGAATGTAATTGATGGGGACGATTATGATTAGTGGATTATATATAACTTCGGCCTGTGACTTTGTTTACTTTTTATATAGCATTTGAGATGGAAATAGAAATTATCTTTATTCATATAAACTTAATATAAGCAGTTTTGAATAGTCATATTTTTTTATTCTACCACTCATACGGAACACAGACAACAAGAAGAATGAACCTAACTAACTAACTTAATCTTTATACAATCAGATGAGTGTTACGAAATTCTAAGTTGGATATTTTTCAACAAAAATGTTAGAATAGAATAGAAAATCCTTTATTCGATTACAGTTAATTTAAACACTATTGAATAGTCACAGTCATTTAAAAAGTCTTCAATTTTATAATAAGCTTTATGTTGAAAGTGTTTTATAAGACATTTCAATCATTGCTCTGGTAGATTTAGGCCTCTGGCAATTTGTTGTAAAACCACAAAAAAATAAAATTGTAAGATCAATACAAACAACCATACTCATGGATACAAATTTGTACCGTGCGAGGAACTGAACCAGCGACCATCGGAAGTAAGACGATGTGATAAACCGCTAAACTGGTGATGCCGTCAATTATTTTTTAACATCAGTGTATTCTTTACCGGTGAATAGGAAGGATAAATCAGTCAAAATATATACAATTGACTGAGTTTTTTATATCTCGGCCAGAACTCACTACCAGAATTGGGTGATATCATAGTAGCAAACCGCTACGCCATCGTGTCTTTTATGTAAATCAAATTATATACGATAGTTGCACAACAAACCACAAATACACAGACGGACAGAGCAATAGTCGCACCCAAACTGTCTATTGAGAATTTTTCAAGTAAAACGCTATATTTTTACGGCGGTCGTTAAGTTTGAAATATCGGCCGTGGGGGTGCGGGGGTGCGAGGGGGTGAGTAGGGGGGTGGGTTGGCAAATAAAATAAAAATAAAGGCCGATTACGGCCGACATTTTATAATGGACGTCGAAATGACATGCGGGCGCCGCGGTGGCGCGGCCGATGTGTAGAGTCGACTACGCGATGCAAATGTTAGTAGGGCTCGGTTTGCGCCTCGCGGCTCCCGGCTCCCGGCTCAGTTGATAACTGCGTATGCTTTTTAACCGACTGCGACAGTGTAATGTCAGTTTTTATATTTTATATTAAAAGAAGGTAGTTTCATTATTACTCGGTATCGTTAAACTAGTTGCATATAACCCCCACTCATATCTTCTCTGTATAAAAGGGAGGGTTTTTGTATGCCGCGGCATTCGCTCTTTGAGCACAGGATGTGCTGGTTGTATTTTAATTGCTAAAGTGAATTGTGTTAGAGACATAGTTAAATTAATGTTATATAGTTGTTATTTTATTATAATACATACTTTTACTAGTATATAGAGTTGATATATCTTACACGATCAACCGATATTATACCTTATCTTAATAATATTATAAACGTGAAAGTTTGTATGGATATTTGTTATTCTTTCACGCTAAATTACTGAACGGATTTTGATTAAATTTTACAGCTTATGCATATTATACATATTGAATATTAACGCGGGTGAAATTGCGGGCACAGCTAGTATATATATATTTTATATATACTAGCTGTGCCCTCTAGCTTTTAGCTAGAATATATTTTATATCTTACTATTTTACTAATGTTATAAACGCGAAAATTTATGAGTATGGATGGATGTTTGTTACTCTTTCACGCAAAAACTACTGAATGGATTTTGATGAAATTTTAGATAGATAGATAGATAAAATTTTTATTTACATTAAAACCATACATATATACATATATTTTTCCTGCATGATTAATAAATAATAAAATCATTTCCAGGTTTCCCAAACTTAAAATATTAACCCCAGTACGAACAACGAAGAAATCTCTTATTATATCTCTCTAACCTCGCATATAGTATTACTATACCGTGGTTTCACGCGTGTGAAATTTATTTTATCGTTAATCAAAATGTCGTACACACTTGTACGAGTTTGATAACATACTCATATAGGAGTTCAAATTCAAAATATCTTTATTCATGTACATAGGTCTATTACAGACTCTTATGATATGTCAAATCTACCGTCAGTTTGTAATGATTTCGAGATGAGAAGAACTGACAAGAAATCTCGTACCAATACTTAGTTGCAGGTTATACTTAGTTTGGGTACCAGCAAATAGTCCTGTATGCATATTACCTAC